TTTCACTCAAAAATTCAACTCATTCCGCTATTTACATAATCTTTTTGCTAACTGGAATGTTGCGCAGACTAGTCGGTATGCATCACCCTTCCCTTCAAACGCCCCATTCAATGATGATACGGCACTGGGCTCCGACAATTCTTGACGGATACGCCTTTTATGGCAGGCCTCAGAAACCTCGCCGAACTGATTGCTTCTCAATGTCTTACATGGCTGTACGAACAAAATTGGGCATTGGCTAATGCTCTAACAGTCTATCTTGAATGAGATGACAGCAGGTAACTGGTAAGCATACTCTGTTCTTGTTAATTCCTGCGAAATGATGAACACTTGATGACGAGTCCGACGGGTTCGCCCGGTGAAGACTTAAATCAAAATATATCCATTCATGTCAACTGATCCACACTCGCGTCTTCTCAATTAATTATATTGTTTTTACCGACGCATTTGCTGACATGATCCCAGATATCATATCCTCATAATGATCACGGTACGCTCATCGTCCACACTCCCTTCTGCAGTGATGAAACGACACAAACAAAGACAAGCATATGTCCAAGCTCCGGCGACGACGAGAACCGTCACGTCTGATCCGCAGTCACAACCTGCTTGTTAAATATCATGTCGATCAGAATTAGCAACTGATGGGTTGCATAGGATCTTGCCATACTTGCAAGCATGAACTTTAGAATATGGTATGTCGGTCTTTGTCTTTGCCCCTTTCCCTCAAAAGATGAACATTCAATTTATCACGACGGTCTACCGAGCTACGGCAATGGTGATAACTGCCTGTGACAGGGCATGAGTCTGATCAGCACCTTTTACTTGATGATTTGCTTCACAATCTTCAAACAGCAGATGCTGACTATCTGAACAGAACTTTATGTCCTTCACTATGATACCAGCACTTCTTGTGCCACATAGGCAACGATGCACAATATATGTTGCAAACAGGTTTGGAGAAGATTCTATCATTCATATTTCTTGTCCCTTGCTGGGGTAGCCAATGAGTGGACCATTTCCACTGTCAGTCCTGCAAATCAAATCGCTGATGTCTTACACGTCCCCTCAAGGCTGCGTCAACCTTTTTTCCCTCCGATTTTACAAGTAGCTCAATACAATCCAATCGTAATGTCTCCACGAATTCTTGCCGTCAGATGAATTTCCGCTTCCAGATCCAACTTGATACCAATCAGCAAAGCAGCGTCCTTTTGCTTTCCGTTGTCGTCTACGGGTCCTTTGATGATGTTGCCTGCCGGGCGGTTGAGTGTGGCGGAGGACGGGACGGGACCGACGTTGGCAGAGACCTTGCGGCCGCCGGATGCTTGACCATCGCTCTCAGAGTCGGAGCCGTAGCCTGTTGGGCGGATAGTGGATTCCCTGACGCCGGTTAGCACATGCGGAATACCCTGGTCATGATGCTGCTTACATGGTAGACATGTTGGGTTTGAAGTGTAGAGTTGGGGAGAGTGGTGTTGGTATTAAGGATTATGCAGGACTCTCAGGTTCGATGGGCTCCAGGCCGTTTGTCGAATGAATGTAGAATGGGAGAAGGCGGTGCAGGTCAACTGTACTGGCCTTTAATGAGTGGCATATGTTTGCCTTATATACGGGGTATGTACTGAGGCCTCTGACTACCACAAGCAGCTCTCCTATCTTCTGCTGCACTACTTCGAGTTGAGGCCCCGAAACCGCTTGTGCGGCACTCCCTGCGTTTGAGATGGGCTACTATCGTTCGAGTCTCGTACTAGCATGATTGCACAAACGAGTCTCTGCATCCAGACGCGAAGATCGACAGCGGTTCCATGAACAGTCTGGGTTCGTGTCATGCCATGGTTGTGGCGCGTGTAAAGCTGAAACATACAAGGGGTTGTAAGGGTCCAACGTACGCGTCTCAGCCGGCACATTGTTATTCCTCATCAGACGAGCATCAGATCATGGTAGTCGCGAGGCAATATACGCTAAGCAGCAGCAATAGCATGCATAGACCATGCTGATTGCGGTTCACTAGCCATGGCGAATGTGCCAGGCCCCCACGCTCTACTCCGCCCCAAACACCGCCGACTGGACGCACAACGTCCAAGATGGTCCTCTCGATTCTCATAGCAACGATTACAGCCCCAGGCCTACTTGGCTCGCAGGAAGCAATACGCCAGTCCCAATCCAAAGAAAAAAGGGAAGAGCATCGCGCTCGTCGTTGCAATCTCATCGCAACATGCGTCAAGTCATCCAATCGCAGCCGAGAAATCAACGGGCGACAGGTCGTTCTGAGGAACGGAAAACTATGGATTGATACTGGAACCGAAGATGGAAGCCCGCTTGGACACCCATATGCTGGGTATTACTTGCCTTATCCGGACACAAAATACGAAGGCCTTGTCACAACCATCACTGATGTTGCTCCGATTATGAATTGGGTTTATATTGACAAAGAGACTTGCGAAGTCAAGTATGGTGTACGCGCAGACGCACAACCTAACCTCACCGGGCCATTTGATTGTACACGCCAAGATCGCCGGCTCACATTCGATGGCTGGGAGGGGTGGTGTGCAGTAGAACAAGCGCCTGGTCTATGGGGATTGTACTTTGACCTCAACGACGATGGACTGAAATCAAAGCTCGAGCCTGGAACAAGGGTGTTGGAGATTGAGTTGAGTCGAAAGGAAAAGAGGTTCCAAAAGGAGACGAATGCACGGCAGCAAGACCAAACAACAACAAGAGCTGTTGATACAAAGGAAGAGGCGCCGGTAGACCAGCCGCTTGCTCCAGAGCCATTGGTACCGAATCCCGGTGTGGGAGGTGAGAAGAGATCGGAAGAGGGTGCTCAAGAATCGTACAAGTACAGGCCGATGAAGATTCCAAAGTCGATCTTTGAGAACCCGCCCCCTATGATAGAATCCTTGGTATTCAGAGCACCCTCGCCACCGCCAGCGTACACTCCAGCGACAAGGGAAGAGCCTGAGAATGCGGCAGAAACAAACAAGCCCGAAACAGCAAAAAGTGAGGAGCGAATTGCTGGTCCCGCCATTAACATCCAAGATACCAATGTGCCAGATGTCGACGATCAGCAAGTCACGGGCCAGTCTGTTTCCGAGCCAGAACAACCCCAATCGACACCAGATAACACAGTTCGGGCGCCTCCTATCGAGACAGAATCTTCTCCCCCAGTGTCACAGTCCCCGCCTACAAAAGAGAGTCGCACTACGCCTAAACTTAATAGAAACAGCGGGTCACGAGCTTTGGCACAAGCCCTGAAATTTGAAGCCATGGCAGCAGCACAAAATTCAAAAGACGAATTACGGGGACGATCAAATGAACGTAGATCACGTGTTAATAGCAACACGTCTTCCATGTATTCAAATGATGGCGAGGTATTGGAAGAGGCAGGAGCTGTCAGTGTACGACCTCAGCCATCTCCCACCCCAGCACCTCTGGCTCTGGCGGTATCGAAAACGAAGCAGGCAATGGCATTGGCAATGCGACCTCAACAACCAGTAGTAGAGAGACCTGCACCGAATCCATCCATCGAACGGCCAATAACGCCTCCACGCCAGCGGGCACTATCTGTAAGGGAAGACCCGGCGGTGTCTGGTCCCGTGAGAGCATCTTCTTCACAGCGGCTCACAGCCTCCAGAACATCTCAAAACTCACAAAGCTCAGCGAAGAGGTCGACCTCTCAAGCATCAAACCAGAGACCCCCCTCAGCTCGACAGCAAAGGGAGCGCTCTTCTTCAGAGCAACCTGTCTTAGCTCGCCCATCACCTAGGCCGACAGTGCAATCTGGTCCTGGGCCAGGTCGCCCATCACTCGCTCGAACAATGACAACTGGAAAGGGTAACCAGGGTATGAGTAATCGGATAGGTGGAGGGTACGTAGGCAGAGAGAGGAACATGTCTAGTTCGGGGAGGCAGATTGCTCCTCCTATTGCGCCGAATCGGTCAAGATCAGCTACTGTTGGCAGGAAAACTACATCTGCGCTGTTCAGAGAGATTGATGACTTGGTCAGTCTGGAGGATAAGGGAAGTGCTGGTACGAATACGACAGGGAAGGACGAGAGAAGGAAGTAAATGGGCATGTTGCGGAAAGTGCAGTTTAAGTATAGTACTCTTGGATTCCATAGAGAAGTCTATTTCTCTAACAATGGTCTCGGTAAAAAGTTCGGTAGTTTGATTTTCTCCGAGAAGAATTTCGCATGAGGGATATATGCGCGCCGAGTTCAACGGGTGCAAAAAGTCTCCCTATTCACCCATCAACGCGCACCTTTCCCCAGCATCTCTTTGCCCACAACGGATGATCTCATATTTCCCGATCCCTTTCATGAAGAAAGACGTCATATATTAGTTTTCCTGTACTTTGCAGAATCGGGGCGATCGGCGGGCATGCCACGTACCCGATGCGCGATTTACGGGGAGTATATTTGAGCGGACCTACACCGCGCGTTTTTCCATCGCTCTTCGATCACAACATCCACCCACAACACCAAATTCGCCTCTCGAAGCACACTTTACCTCGAGGCTCGCTAACTGCTGTCATGGGCTCTTGAGTGGATCCTTCCGTCTACCCGACTGTTTACGCAGCGGCCCCGACCGCCGACCAGCAATGTGAAACTGACAAGGATGTCGCCACTGCTTCAGAACTTCCGGCACGTTTTAGGCCAACGTCGCGGATGAGGAAAGTATCATGCGAGTCCAAGAGTACGCTGCAGCATTTGTGGTCTGATAGAAAGATGATGGAATCAATAGGAGAGTCATGATAACTATGGTCGGTTGGACTAGCGGACTTTTGAGAAGGGTGTTGAACTGGACAATTTGCTGGGTTGACAACTGGCTGGACCATTCTACCAACTGGACCTTTTGATTAAACTTTGGAACTCCGCTGGATCTTCTGGAAAGCCTGTCTAGTGCTTTTGGATTATTTTTTTTGATATTTGTAATTTACACCTCAGGTTGCGACAAGCCATTTCTTACGCATCATTGTTGGCGTCTCACGAGCAACACACTATGGACGCCTCGACACGGCTGTATAAACGACTGGGAGAGATACCTGAAGATCCCAATCACCCGGATAGTTTGGATGACCTTATTGTCTGCGCATTCGGTGCATTCGAGCGATATTATCTTTGTTGGAAAACAAAAGGGGGAGAGTACAAACAAGGTGGGTGCTACCGATATGACGATGAGAAGGAACTCTGTACTCACACCAGCAAGACGGCTATGGACTTCCACCTGCATTGAAAGACTGGCTATACCCGAATGACGGTACAACACGCGATTTCGGCTCTCTCCAGGTGGTTTTTGGTCGCGGGGAAGAGTACTTTGCGTCGGATAAGAATGGAAAGCTAGAGTATAAAGAGCCGGAAGTTAGGAAACCAGCGCCAGCAGACGATGAAGAAAAGCACGAAAAACAAGCACTGAGGAGGTCGAGGACGGTCTCGTTTTTGCGGCCGTTGTCAGAAACAAGTGTGCGATCCGACAGTGTTATGAGCGAGACGAGGCAGAGTAAGAGATCGAGTTCGATAAGTTCACAGCGAGCGAGCCGGCCACCTAGTCTAAGCTATACAAATTCAAGGACAAACTCCGACATATCATTACTAGGAGATACAATCGTAGAAGGGCAGGCCAGCCAGTCAGTGCGCCCTTCTTACCTTTCGCAATGGAGTGCCATGGCTCCCAACGTCAAAGAAGAGGAACACGAGTTATCACCAAAGAACCAAGCAGGTCGGCAGTTTGAGTCGAATCTCGAGAAAGAGCAGGAATACATACAAACAGAGTCTCTCGCCACACCTACAATGCCACCTCAACCGCAAACCACACCGACCACAAACACCAGACCAGAACCGACTCCCACCCAACCACCACGCACCACCATACCCTCACCCTCACACTGCACATGCGGCTGCCACCCCTCACCCCCCAAACCCGCCTACACAAACGCAACAACCCAAACCACCCCCCTACCCTCCCCACGCTGCAACCCCAGTCTCAGCATCGATCCCACACCCTCTTACTGGCAAACGCAACCCGCCTACCAACCACCCATCTCCCACGACGAATACTACTACGAAGAAGACGATTACGCCGCACCTCCCGTCCTCATGGGCCGCATGTCATCGTACTTTAGCAAGCCGGGGTATCAACTTGGTGATAGTTTGTTTAGTGGGTATCACCCAATTAATTGGGGGGCGCCTGTTACCATGGCGACGACGGAGACAGAGACGTATGTGTATCAGGATAGTTTTGGGGATGAGGCTTTGAGGTAGATGTTATAGGAGGGGGGAGGGGAGAATTTTTCTGGATACGAAGACTAAGGGGGGGAAGATGGTGTGTATATGTAATTATATGATTTTGTTTTTTTCGTTTTTTTTTGTTGGCATATGTGCGGTGTTAGCAGGTGAACCGATGAGTCTTCTTTGAGGATGTTGAAATGGAGAGTTTTGTGGTAATATAGGAAGAATCCCACGCATTCTTTTTTCTTGTTCATGTCGTTTTTAGATGCAGGTTTTGTACCTATTCTTTTTGAGAAAAAATTCAACAAGGAAGAAAAAACGAAAATGGAGCAGATAAGAAAGCTAGGATTTACTTCACCATACATATTGTCCACCTGTACTATCTATTGTCTTGCTCTGCCGGGTATACCTCCGCGATAACATCGCATCAGCTCAAGATAAGTGAGGCTGAAGTACACTTTCGTATAGTATAAGCCTAGAGTTTACGATATGTATTCTCATCAGACTTTTCATCTATCTAGATTGATACTGTCATAGTATGGAGGAAAGAAAAAAAAGTACCAATGAGATTTTCTTTTCTGATTGGACTTGGAGACTGAGGGGCGGCGGAGATGGTACTAAGCATGTGTACACTATACATCCCACTAGAACTGAGCCCCAGCTGCGAGCTGGGAATATTGGTTACGTGGAAATCTCAACATCAGGTTTCATCGGAAAGTATTGAATTTCATTAAAAAAAAAAGAAGATCATTTGTTCGTTCGTTAATTCGTTCACATCGCCTAATGCATGCTTATTTTCCAAAGGAGAAGGCGGCGGGGTCGGAGATGCGCGATACCCTGACCTCCGTGCGTAAATACGCGCTGACGAGTGACGATCCAAGGCTCGTGTTGGGGGTGCCAACGTATGCCTGTCAGGGGTTCTCTTTTTTCTCGGATGATGGTGGGAAGTAGTGGGAAGATATGGGGTGCATATACTACGTATGTAGGAAGGAATCAAGGCAATGGCCGATGATGCAGGGTAGTACCGGTGTGGTGGGTAACGGACATGCGAATACGAAGTATGTACACAGTATGTGCCTGGCATACGTACGTGACATGATGTGAACAAACACAACGTCACTGGATATGCAAATTTGTACTGGAGAGAGGTGGAATGACAGCATGTGAGTAGATGAGAAAAGGGGAATAAGCAGGACCTGGTTGGTATGGTGAGTAGTGTAGTAGCCATATTTGCTGACGCGGAAGGCTGCATCTGTCAAGGCCGTGTCCTTGACCACTCAGACAACATCGCGCCACCCCAGATGGCTACGGTGCAGCCACACGAACGCATCGATGATGCCGATTCAAAGCCACAGTAGTCGATGGGGGCGTGGTCCCTGGCCATCGGGCGATATACCAGGGCCCCACGGCAAAGAAACCTGAAAGGTAATGTCAGGCCGAGCAAAGTACTGCCGAAAGAGAGCGAGTAACGCGAACACTCTTGTTCAAATCAGCCAACCGCACAAAGCGCATTACAAGCAGAGAGTTGAGGGCAAGCAACAACCGAGTCAGCTGGTGCAGGCGTATTGCGAAGCCAGCGCCGCCGTAACCCCCCACTCATTTTACACAACCTTTGACATCATACCCGCCTCACTAACGGCTGTATTACCGCTTCAGAAGTTGCGAGTGTGCACGTGTGCTCGTCGTGTTGCAACGATGATCCCCAAAGAAAAAGAAAAAAGGCCGGGTTTTGGGAAATCCAGGGACTCGTGATCGACTAGACACAAGGGCATTTTTCTGGCACGTAAAAGAGAGAGAGGTGCCGAGCAAGGGTCCGACCAGTAGCGGTTGGGCAAGGGTGGGTAGGGGTCTGCGCAACACACCAGCACCGCGAGGCGGTGGACGATTGTATTTCAGGTAATTTTTTCAGGTTGTGTTTGGAGGAGAATTAGTATGAGCTAGAGAGAAGGGTTGGAACTAGGAGTATTCTCCGACAACAGAGACAAGCTCAAAGAGGGAAATGGGCAAATGTGACAAGTTCAAGGGTTGGAGGTACGTATGTAGATGAAACAAGAAGGATAATCTGAAGGTTGTTCAATAGGCACAGCGATTCCTGGGGCTGTTTACTTTCGGTGGTGTGTGTGTGTGTGTGTGGACAGGTGGGCAACGGGATGATGTCGGTACGATGATGGATGACGATGAGGGTGGGTGGGCTCAGTTTTTTCTGGGTCAATGGCCGCTGCCACTACCTGTTCAGGCGCTGGTAAGCAAAACGGCAACTTGTAGCCTTTCCCTTTGCCTCGCCTCAATTCCACCAGGGCCGAGGGATGTCGACAGCCATGCAAACAAGCATTTGGGATGCGCACTGTTTCTCGCACCCCCACAAAACAGGCAGTGTGTGGTGAGCGGGCGTGTCCGTCGCGGCTAGAGAAATGCTGTCCAGGTGGGTTCCTTTTTTGCATGAGTGATTTTCGCCATTGGAACGCTTGTCCTTTTGCTTAAGGCGCAACTACCCACGCGGTTCGCTTCTCTCGGTTGACGGGGAACTATATCAGGAACAAGAAGGTCATTGCTTTTTAGTCATTTGCTGTTTGGGATTTGCTGTTTGGGATTCGCAGGAACCCTTTGGCCTGGTTCCTGTTCGAGTTGCCAGAGACGATGATGCATGTAAGATGTTGACGATGGAGTGGCTCAGGCGGTCGGTCCTTTAGGCCCGACGAAACAGCAGTGTATGTCTGGGGAGGGGAGGGGGGAGGGGGCCATGTGCAACATGATCCTCTGTGCCTTGTGGCTACTCATGCAGCGGGCGTCGGATGGTGAGTGAGCGCGTCAGTCGTGGGGTGGTGAGTGGGCTGTGCTGGTGCCGTGATTGTGCCGCTGACTACCTCATCCTCGGATCTTTGCCAGCCGCGCTCAGCGAAGTCCTGTCCTGTCGCCGTAAGCGGTTACCCTTCTGGCACAACACCATGCCCTTGAGGTGCTGATCAGCCTTGACAGCCTAAGAGCGCCCGTGGCACATGGTGCTGCTCTTGTCGATGGTGGTGGTGGTGCTGCTACTGCGGTTGAGTGCGCTGCGTCCAACTATCACCTGCCTGCGACCTCTGCAACCTCTGCCAGCCGCGATGGGCGTTGTTTAGCGCACGCAGCTTGACCGATTCATCGATCCAGGTCAGCAAAAATCTCTGCGTGTACTTGGCTTGCGTCTGTCCCGCGTTTGGCATGCAGGGCAGGCATTGGTAGAGAGGGGAAGACCGGCGAACCTCATAGCCGTGCAGCGACAAGGTGGCATACGCCCTGCAGCCCCCGACAATGTCACCCAGCCCCGTCTTTGCTCTAGAGCAACCACTCTTTGGCAAACGTCTCCCGGCCATCACTTCACACACACATACACCAGCCAAGCGCGCATAACGTGCATGGAGACTGTTATTGGACTATGCTCTATGTAAATTCTTCAAAGGGCCCAGCGGTGCCTCGTCCAAGGGCCAGTGTCTATACTTTTGTAAAACGAAAATGCCACCAGCAACAGAAAAGAAGAAAACCCAAAAAATGCAGTAAAACCACCCGCCTCCCCAGTGTATGTACTAATGCTTGCGCTTGCATGCTTGTTCCACCACCAAGTTTCCCACCAAAAAAGGCAATGCTTGAAGTTCATCGTCTATAAGCAATGTCAAACGGAGATCAAAGCACAGGGTGTACGCCAGGTCAGAAAACTATACACAGGCGACCATAAAGGGTCCAAAGAGCACGGCCACAAGGGCCAAAAAAGAAGGTAGGGATAGACATTGCCTAGGCCTTGGTATCATTGCGCACCAGCAGCGTCATCAGTCATGGCGTCATCAAAAGAAACAGTCAGCCAACATGGGCTGACTGTTCCTTCGCAGGCGTCTAGAACCAATTGTTGTTGTTGTTATTGGCAAAACATGACATGTCAACATTGTTGCTCATGGCACTGAATGCACCATTGCTCTGGTCTAGTTGCCACGGGTCTACGGGAAGCCCGCTTTCATAATGGCTGCCCATTTGCATTGCGCCAGCCTCGGCAAAGTCCGACGAAGCCGTGCTCGTCATCGTTGCGGGTGCAGCAGCAATGCTCTTGGCATACAGCGACTCAAACCCAAGCATGTTGGTCATTGGAGCCGAAGTAGCTGCGGCCATGGACACGGGCACGTTGACGGGTTCACTGGGCACCGAGGGGTTGAAGCGATACGCAGGAGTATCTTCCCAGAACAGCGACTCGCTGGCTGCCGACTGGGGGGGTTTGAAGTCGACGTCACCAAACAAGCCACCCTCGCCAATTTCAGAATGCGTAGACGAAGCCACAGTAAGGCCTGGACCGCTTTGCTTGGATTCTCCGCTGTGCGATGTCGGCTGGGCCAGTTCGTCGTTGAACTTGCTTGGATCCAGTGGGAGGTCTGTTGCAGACCACAGCGGGTCAAAGCCAGTCCAGTCCTTGTCTAGGTTTGGGAGACAATCTTGCGAAGGCGATGTCGACAGGCTACCCATTGCAAATGCGCCAGTGACGGGCGTCATTGTGTTGGTCATCCAGGGCCACTGCTGGTTGGAAAACGTATCGCTGACATTGCTGTCGGGAGAATCACCGCCCTGAGCAAACATACCAACCTGATTACTGAACATGTCGTTGAAAGCGAAGGCGTCGAGACTGGTGCTTGCGCTTGCGACGGGAGGCTTGTCGGCACATCGCTGCGTAGAGCCAAACATGGCATGAAACTCGTTGTTGGACAGCGACAGGGTATCCATGGATCGTTGCGTCTGGACGTCTGGCTGGGGGCGAGCATGATTGTCTTGCGCCAAAGCAGCAAAAGCCGAGTGGCCGTGCAGGGTGTGTGGACGCGGAATCTTGTAGGGCATTCCGGACACATGGGCAGTGTTGTTGTTGCGATGGCAAGGCTTGTGGTGGCCGTTTGCAAAGACAGTCAGATGGCTTTCCGAGTGGGTGCCAGTCAGTTTGGGCTTGGCACGGGCGTCGTGGAGAGTCTGGCGGGAGGTATCCACCTTGAGATCAAGGTCATCCTTCTTGGTGCCGCACAGGCATT